ACTCCTATTCCTAAAGGAATACTTCACCCACAAAATAAGCATTTATATATCGATTTTTCATGCTGCATCATCCTAAATTCATAAAGAAAACATTGTTTATCTCACATGCCTCACATGTGAACGAAGAATCCAAAAACATTACAAACATTGTTGATTAATTGAAATCCTTGGGGCCACTGCCCCACCTTCAGTCCTTTTCTGGCCTTGATTAAAAGTCAAACTTATCTATGCTTTCACTTTCACACTTCTATTTTCTATTTACGCTTCACGCTGCTTGATTGATTTTATGATTTGTAGTTTTACAACTCCATGATTTTTTGGTATCAATTAATCCATGTGTTTAACTGTTTATAATGTCCTTTCATATTAAATAGCCTCATCTGTTTTATGTCCATTCTGTCTGTTTTCATGTGAAGCACTCAGACTTTAACTGTCTTTATTGTAAAACACTTTGTGCTGCATTTCTTGTATAAAAGGTGCTATATGAATTAAGTTTATTTTTAATATTATTATTACTTTTAGTGCTGGTCAGAAAGGGCTGAAGCCAAGACAATGCAACATGTTTGGGAAGCACTGAGGGTATGACTGGATACATGAGACTTGGACTATACTAAACAGGTTGTCAGAGAGTTTTTAAACAAATGTTTTAATATAGTTTTGCCGTTTTTGGATTCTTCGTTTACCAGAGGCATGCAAGAAAAGGTAAGATGGCAGGAATAAATTGATAGGTATATAGATGGTCATTTTGTGGGTAAAGTATTCCTTTAAATGTAATAAATTTCCATCAAACCACAATATTTCACACTGCACATTTGGCGTTCATTCAAGGCATAATCCTATGTATTCAGACATTAAAATGAGTGTAGCAGAATCACGATTATCAGTACCATGAAAGGCTCAATGAATAAATAATTCCTTCATTTGATGCACTTCCCGTAATAATTTAATCCAGTTATACAGCTGTTTTCACAATATGCTGCTAACTTCATATTACCCAGTGTAGCCTGTTACCAGGACTGTGATGGTGCCTGTGCAATTTCACAACATGTGATTTCACATTTGATCAAGAGTCTCTTTAGCTTCACAAAATCAGTTCACATCTTTTCAAAGACTCCGTCCTCCTGAGCATGTGCACCCTTGAGTCAGGTTATTCCAGTTTTTCCACAGACACTAATCCACATAGTGCACCTCCGCCTGCAGCTCCTTGGTGATGTATCCAAGAAGGGCGGCTGTAACCTGTTGCTTCAGGGTGGCGTTTCCCATCACTAGAGCAGTTAGCTGAGCCACATCAGTCCACTGAATGTCTCCCAGGATGGCCATGAGGTCACCGTAAAGCTTCTGTTGCTGCTCAGGACTGAGCTCCATTATGATCTGAGGCAGCGGTTTGAATTGTCCACTGGTCAGCCAGCAGCCCAGAAGGCCTCCGACAGCACCGCCTGCAAGGGGAGAAGGTTTCAAACTTGTGAAATACAAAAAAATATCTCTAAGTTTGAGAGAACCTGTTGCACTCTTCCACTTACCGACTGCAATGCCAAGAGGACCCCCGACCAGCCCTCCAGCGAAGGCCAGCCCTCCAGCTGCTGCTGCTCCCTTCCCTGAGCCTGTCACTGTGGTCCGGATTTGCTGATTGGCAGATAACTCACAACACAGCTTCATGACATCATCAATTCGATGACACATACTGTGGATCAGAATTAGAATTGTAGGAGGCAGCACAGATACAATAACTGTAAACTACTTAACAGTCCAACACTGAGCATAGGATATGAAAACAGGAAAATACTGTCAGTTGAAATACAATCAATTATTATTGGCTATTCACAAATCACCTATTTACAAAATGACACCAGATACTGACACACACTGAGCAGTTTAAAAAGACAGAAGACGCAACATGATCCTGCAAGTAATTTTCTAATAAGAACACATAGACTACAGATAGCAATGTGGTGGTGTGATAGCTCTGATTGCATCAGAAAGCATCACAAGGCAAAGGTTACCACAGAGCAGCATCTATAGTCCAATTCAACCAATGATGATTCAGCAGAGCCTGTTACAATAAACAGAGTAAACACAGTAAACATAAACACATACCTTGCTGTGTTATTAAATCCTCATCAATATTCGTCAGGTCTATGTTTACAATGTTAACAAGAGAGTGACCATGCTCTTATCAGCTGGCTATTCTTGATGTCTGAGCTTGCATGACTACGCCCGCAGTGCCTGATGGGTACCATGAAGATGCTGCGTTCATGAACATTTGGTCAATCCCACGTTTCCTGGTTGTGCAGGTGCATACAACCTACATTTTTAGGTTTTAGGTCACATCTCTTAAATAAATTAGTTAAGTTAGTTTATTATTCAAGGAGGACACCCTTAAACCACTGGTAGTATCTTAAATTGATAATTAGGGATACATTTCTTAATTCAGTTAGTTAAGTTAGTTTATTAGTTGAGGAGGACACCTTTAAACAATTGGTAATATCTTGAATTGATAATTAGGATACATTTCTTAATCAAATTATTTAAGGTAGTTTATTAGTTGAGGAAGACACCCTTAAACCATTGGTAATATCTTAAATTGATAATTAGGCATACATTTCTTAATTCAATTAGTTAAGTTAGTTTATAAGTTAAAGAGGACACCCTTAAGCCATTGATAATATCTTGATAATTAGGGATACATTTCTTAATGAAAAGCTTTATGCAATTAAGGGGGTTTAGTAGTTTATTTGTATACATAAAAAAAAAAACTTTTAAACTGATAATGTCAAATATTTCAGATTACTGTCCAATTTGTTGGGAAAGTCACCTACTCCTTAAATTCTTCTTAATTTGCTACTAACATACTTTTATTAATTATTATTGATTTTCCCCACATATTACAACTAATAGAAATAATATTTCCGATAGCAACTGAATGCAACATAAACAGCCAATGAGCGTCCAACAAGAAGGGGGCTGGAACCATGGGTGGACTATATTAATATTCTGAAACAAAACTTGTTTATGACAACTGATCCATCTAAGCTGCTTTAAATCCACTGATAGTTATGTGTGCTATTACATGAATATATATATATATATATATATATATATATATAGGTGTGTTTAAACATTATCTCTAACTACATTATTTATGCAGCTGTGGGCAGATTCATCCTGTCACACTGCGTGGATGAAACCCACTGCTACTTCTCTAATAGATAAATCTCTGACAGCAGTTGTGTCTGTAACTGTGTCACAGTGTGCTGATCACTGTAGCAGGGATTCAGCTCAGTACAGTATGTCGACTGTTTACATTTGTGCAACCATCCACATTTACCCAGAGTACACCGGGAGGCACAGAGGAGCAGCTGCGTCAAGGTAACTTCATGTTGCTGGAGAACGGAAGTTGCAATATTTTTTCTTCAAAATAAAAGTATGTAAGGGGACTGAGGAAAGAGTAGAGTGAAATATGAGATTCTTGTTCTTGAGTGTTTCCATCTTAGCAGGGGCGTAAATATAAACAGTGCAGGCAGTGTGGTTGCACTGGGGCCCGTGAGGTGGGGGGGCCCATGGAGAGAATGGGCCCTCCAATAATGTGTTGGTGGGGAATCGGCCCTTATGAGTGATTGCCATCTTGGAAATATGCCTGTTTTCAAAGAACTCTCAATAAATTAAAAACAGTGCCCTTTGCTATGTGTGCCCTTGAAAAAGGCAAACCCATCTCTGTCATGTCTTTTTTGTAAAATAGTCATCACCATCAATAACAAAATTATATGCTTATTCAAAATAAACTATAACAAACCACTGAAATGATTAAATTAACCTAATAATTTCTCATTTTCTTTGGTATTTTTTGTAACGTACAGATATGCAATGACGATTGCTGGGTAATGTGTATGTTAATGTTATCCAATGTCAAGTTTCTGATCATGTTATGAGACAATACCTGCACCATAGCGTACACTAATTGAGACCATCATAATAGTGTGCACTGGGGGCTGTCTTAACTACCTTACACCACTGCATCTAACTCTATTACTTCTACTCCACTACATTTCTGATTGAAATGTACTTTTTCATCAACTGCATTTGATAACTGTACTCATTATGCTCATGGATGGATTACTGAACAGGCCTATCAGGCCAAAGTGTCAGGGGGCCCCCATGCCTTCTCCTACAAAATGTCACATGAGAGACACATACCAACCAACAGGCAACCTCTGAGGCCGATGCAGAAGTGCCAGAAACTGCAGTTCATCAAGTGGGCACTTGAGGCTTAATCACCATAGGCACCGCGTGTTAACATGCCAAACTTTAAAGTAGAAATAATAATGTTACAGTAAGGTACAAAAACAGTTTTGGTCTCTATAGCTAAATTCAATGTTCATGATACGGGAGGTGAAGTTTTTTATGACTCACCTGACTGTAATTTCTTAAGGCCCATAGTTATGCATATTAAAGAATGGGGCTGCGTGAGTGACAGGCTATCTGCGGGGTGTCACTATAGTTTGTGAGTCAGACTCACCCCACGCACCTCCACAGCTCCTGCCTCCAAATATGGTCATTTCTGGCTCCAAAAAACCAAGATAGATAGATAGATAGATAGATAGATAGATAGATAGATAGAATTACCTAAAGGTATAATGAATTTGAGTCAGCTCCACCTTGACCACCTACAAAATGAAAATGCTGCTTGAACAGTGGTTAAGTCATAAATAAAAATGATAAAATGCAACAACAGGGGCTCAGCAGCTATAAGATTAATCTGGTTATGCTTCTTGGTAACTAAAAAATTGAGTTTTACTTGTGATGGACTAATTTTCTGGTGTATCTTTATCTTATTTTATTTTTTACTAATTCACTAGTTCAATTATAGTTTTGAATCTGTTCACTCCTGGGTAATTTCATTTTGTTAGTAGGCTAATTTGTTACACTTAGAGGCGACGTATCAATGAGAGCTTTTATTTTGAATATTCTGACCGGAAGTTCCGTTGTAAATGCTGGTGGTTTGACTTTGGACCGAGGTGCATGTCGTAGCGAGAGTGACGAGGAATATCTGTTCATCTTTGGATCTTAAAAACCGTGGATATTTTTGGAAATCATGCAGAAATCTTGAAATGAGAGTGTGAGATGGTATCACTTCCGAAAGTGAGGATAATTATCATTGCCCCATTGATGAATACGACCAGCACGGCTCTCAGGAATAGCTGCTGCTGCATTCATAAACACTTCTTTAGGACTCACAACAACCCCTGAGCTTTGTTTTGGGGTCACTAAAAACACATATTCCTGTTGTGCACGATGGCTGAAAAAGGTAAAATGAACATAGAGCATCTCGGCGGAGTTGTCAGGCTCCGAGAGGAACACGAGAAGGTAATTTCACCAGTTGACACCAAACGTTTCGCTGGCTAGTAACGTCTAACGTTAGCCGAAGCACAGTCCGCTGCTGCTGCTGGCCACGCGGTACATCAGCACAGGCTTATAACCACGAGTGGGTTCAATAAACTGCTTTATACATCAAACATACACATTTATGCACCAATTGTACTAACTCATATGTCACATTAGAAAGTTGTGGGTTAATTGTTTTGACTGTCCATTTTCGAGAAGCTTCCTGCCTTGCAGCCTCACGTGCTCAAGTTCTTGTTTAAACGAATGTTGCCTTCACGGGTGTGTGTTCACTTTCATTTCTTCGCACTTCTGCTGGGTTTAACAGCAGGCTGGGCGGGTTTGTTGACTTTGGGAAGTTGACTTTTAATGTCTTTTATGAAGTCTTGACCAGCTAGCTAACGGTTTTGCTAATAATGAATATTACACGTCAACGCCCCCCATAGATACTCGGACAGGAAGTCCCAACTGTGCAAACACACTAGCTGAGAAATTTCACTTTTACAAGACCTCTGACAAAGTTGAAGCTCCCATCAGACTAGTTCACTGTTTTACCGTCCAGTAATCAGATTACTTGTTAGTTAAATATAATAGCAGTTCTCATTTTCATGCAGACTGCAACAAACTTTGGTTTGTATCACAGTGAAGGGTGTTTGTGCAGATGTCCTCACCATGTGGACGTCGTTTTGTCAGCTGTGTTTGTCTTTCTCTTCTGCTTCCTTCATCTGGTTTGGATGTTTTGTCTTTTTCCCTGTGTGTGATGATTCTTTAATTCAGACAGAATATTAATTATTTGTGTATATGCACAGTAGTATTTGCAGCACTAGTCAAAAGAAAGTATTGATCAGGAAATGTGTAAGAATAAGGAGTCTGCTTGTGTGCTACCTTAACTCTTTTAGGCTCTTGAGGCCTTGACACGAGTGTGTGAGTTGCAGAGATTTTCAACGTGATTTGTATTGAAATTATCTGTCCTAAAAACAGGTGGTGAAAGACTGTGAAAGTCGGATTCAGCACTGGTAAGCATTGAGAAACTCCTATTTGATTTTTAACAATTGCATAATGACAACATTCTTTAGTTTTTTGCTTACTTTTTAGTACACAGTAAGAAAATGTCTGCCACACAAAGGGTGTAGCAAAAAGCAGCTGGTCAATCCATGTTCTAATATGATAGGTTTTTCATTGGCGATATATAAAACATGTATACCTGTAAAAGGAAAAGGCATGCAATACACATCTCTGCAGTGTTCATAACATTAATAAATCAAAATTCCATCAGCACAGCACCAAACCTTATATCATCAGGTGACCTAGTCTACACATAAAGCCCAGAAACCGACAAACAAAAGAGGTCCCTATGATACAACCAAAGCAAAATAAGCAAAAGCCCACTGTCTCCGTCTGTATTTTACAATTGTAGTACATTTCAGTACAATGTCTAGCTTCTGTGACTTAAAACAAAATGGATTCCACCAGACAAGCAAATATGGTGTTGGGGCTAAAGCAAAAGCTGGTTTGGAGATCTTAGGTAGACATGATTTGTCCCCCAAGAGTCAAAGAAGCAGCATCATTCTTAAAATTTACTTTGTACATATTAAAGGCAAGTCTTTTCTGCACAGCTCTTGCTGTATGATAGAAAACATTGGCCACAGCCAAGATTTTATGGCTCTGAACTTGCTTGTCTCTGAGTGATCTCTTCCTACAAATACTACCAATTTAAGAATGAAATTAAATGGATTTTTCACCCAGAAATCGAGCTTCTGTCATTACCCACTCATGTAGTTCAGAGAAGTTTGTGTTTAGTCGAGACACAGTTGGTACAGCTCCACGTTCAAACTGCATAATTTATAGTCTAATAATAGCCACGAGTGTGGCTTCCTCAATTAATCAAGCATGATTCTGTGCAATATTGATGCTTTGCGTCGAGAGTGCCGGCTCTGGTCAAAATCAACAAATTAGACACTCCCTGACCAATCAGAGGCGTTTGTTTCAAGTATGCCGCAATTAGCCCGTTTATTCCTGATACTCAAACGCAGTTGCAGTCGCAAGAAGGAGCGTTTTTAGTACACAGGCAACTTTAGAGGCCCTGTGATGATCTGTGTGATTGTCTTTGACCACCAGGATGGGCCAAAGACAGTTTCCATCTTCCACCACCACAAAAAAGTTGTATTTGATTCTAATCAACACTATTAGACCTTGGCTCAGGTTGATGTTGGTGCAGAGAACTCAGTGTACCAACAGGCCCTTTGCCACAGCAGCTATTTTGACTTGTTACAGTAGAAAAGCACAGGTGTTACTGAGAACATTAACAAAGGCTCTGTTATATTTAAGTGTCCCAGTAAGCCATGACAGTGTGGAAGTGAGCCAGCATGCACAAAACCAGGACCCACTGAGTCCACCTGTGCTTTTCCTACTGCCATATGCAAAAGTATCTTCCTCCTGATACAGGATCCCTGACATGATAAGGTGTATAGTGTCCCAACAAAACAGATGCAGCAAAGCTAACAGGAGAGTGAAGGTGTCAGTGTATACAGACCCACACAGTCCTAAGAAAAGCACTAATCAGACAGAGCAAGCAGAGACACCTGTGAGTGGGATGTGACTTTCTAGGGGGCTCTACTGCAGTGTAACTTCATTACAGTGAATCCATTTTTATTAATTGGCAGCAGTGGGTTACCGCTGGTATTCTTGGTCATATTGATTACAGATACAGTTAGTATTATGTGGAAATTGGGGCTGTTGCCCATCAGTTTAAGGACAATAGCATGCTTCTTCAAAGATGAATAAAAAATATTTCAGTGTTGTCAGCTTAGCAGCCCTACTGTCAGTCTTGAAAGACCCTTCCCAACCCTGCCACCCAACCCACACAGCGGATTTAACTTATTTGACTTATTGGAGCTCTTCTCAGGTCTGCGTGGGCTTGTACAGACTGTGCTTGACATTTCTTTGATTCTCCTGTTAGTTTGTTTGGACTTGTCAGGACGAGACAAGTTTCACCTTAATCGTTCTAACTGGTACATTGAGTCCAGTGATGTCACATAATTCACAACATAGTCCCGCCTCCCTGTAATCTGAACAGAGGATTAACAAGGCAGATTAACTGAAAAGGCCTGCATGGATACTCAAGACCCTTGTGCAATGCACCAGCAGTCTGTAGTTGCAGGTAGAGCACACTCGGTCACACCAAAGTGGCTGAAACAAGTGAAAAAGTGTGTTTTCTCACTCTTTGTCATATGGTTATAACAAACATACAACAATTTAAAGTCAATAATCTTATTAACACACTGTATCACTGCTGTGTCTCTGTGTTAATTAGGTAATGCAATGGATTCTGTTGCTTTAGGGTCCATTTTTAAGGTTGAGGTTAAAGGTCACAAGGAGACTATTCCAGCAATCAGTGAGGAAAACCAATGAGATAAGGTCAATGATATTGGAAGCACGTTGCTTTCATCCAGCAACAACACACTTTGTTTACCGTGCAGAGAGCATTGCATAACTTCTTATGTGTGTCACAAACTGTTAAACTGGTGTTGTGACTCTTACTGGAGAAACTAGGCCATCTCAAAGCATTTTTAAAATTGTGAAACTAACTTTTGGAGCAACTGCATATTTCTGTGTTGTTTATCTGCACGGACGAAGGCGCCAGAGCGTCGTCGTGATTTTCTCTGAAGTTTGTCCATCGGCAAATAGATACAAATGAATACCAGCGACTTCTTTCGGAGTCTTGGGTCACACCAAGTGTCCCCCCACTCCACTTAGGGGGGAAACAGGCGCTTCCTCATTACTCCTTAGCTGTCGTTTGCTTCCCGTTGTTCTGTTAAACATCCCAAAACAAATCAAACAAACCAATCTGGGTAACAATGGCTTCAGAGGAGATTTGTGGCTTGAAATGAAAGAGAAAAAATCTGAATAGTCGTTGGCCTGACATCATTGTAAATCGATGCTTTTACAGGAAGAAGGTGTCAGGTGACTACGAAGCCCTGAATGACCGCCTTAAAACTCTTCCAGATCAGCTGTCTTATGACATCATGGTGAGTGCAGACATTGTTGAAATGCACGGGGAAAACACACAGTCACACAGCCTGTGCATTGTGGGTGAGTTCTGAGATGAATTCCTGTTGCAAGTTTACCATTTACATTCTTAACTTTGCAGAAGCTGATCTTAAATAGGCACGTTTACTGCCGTCACTGAGTTTTATTTCTTCTTTTCTCCCACTTTCGTATCCACATTCTGCCACCTGCTTCATTAACTGTTTCTCTTTCCGTCTGCTCTTTGTCCCCTCTGTGCTATAAACAGGTGCCATTTGGCCCTTTGGCCTTCATGCCAGGGAAGTTGGTGCACACAAACGAGGTCACGGCGTTGCTCGGCGACAACTGGTTTGCCAAGTGCTCTGCCAAACAGGCTCAGAAAATAGTCGATCACAGGATGAAATGTGAGTCTGTTTTTGAAAAGACTGCTTTCTGTCCTCACTAAAGACGGCTTTGTTTAATTTTGATGTAGTGGCTCAGCACTTCTCTCGTTCATCCAGCAGAGGGCGTCGCTGCATCAAGCTTGTCTGAGGAATCACTGAAGTGACAAACTTTCAGCTGAGCCAATTTTTTACCAGAATATTTGGGGAGAAACTTTTGAGATACTTGTAGAATTTAGTCTTTTTAAAGGAAATGTTTAGTGAACTGTAATGCCTCTTCTAATAACTGTACTGAAATCTTGAAGCGTGCATGATTTTGACATATGCAGGGTGCTTAATTTCACATGTGGTTACAGGGTTGCAAGCTGCAAGGCACATTTGCAGCGCTCATTTGCTGTGCTGCACTTGCACTTGTGTTTACATGTCACCGTTGTCACCGTCTCTGTTTTAAATCATATCCTCTCCTCTCCTGTGGTGAAATCAAAAGTCCCGTAAATGCAGCATTTATTAGTTTGATCGAGTGCAGGAAGTCTTTGGAGAAAAAAAAAAGTGTTAATTCTAACATGGGTTATGCGGAGCCATGTTTTGCCTGTGTTTTCCCCGCTGCTCATTCTAGGATTGAAAATCTCATATCAAGTCAAATGGGCCCAAGTAACGATCTCTGATGTGAACATTATTAGAGTGTTTAGTGAAGCAGAAACATGCTGCCACAGCCCATCCGCAGCCGTCTGCCCCCCCCCCCCCCCCCCCCCCCCCCCCCCCCCCCCCCCCCCCCCCCCCCCCCCCCCCCCCCCCCCCCCTTTCCTCCCCCCGCCCTCCTCCTATCTCCTGACCCTGCCCACCCCGCTATTACAGAGCTAAGTGCTGTAATACAAACATAGCTGGCTGAAATGTGTCAGACAGCGGCTGAGTTGTCAGGCCTTCTGTGTTTGACCTTTCCTCACTTCCAGTTGATGCACTGACTGGAGGGGCTCCCGATCGCCATGGAAACAAGGGCCCTCTGCCGCTATTAGTAAAAGGGCTTAATTGTTGTCAAGATTTAATGATCCGGAGTAGTATTCAGGGCAGAAGATATTATGAACTGTTTGTGTCATCATTTTTCAATTTTTTCCCCCCAACTTGTTTAGGATTTTAACCCTTCAGCTGCTGTTTCCCATTGTTATATTAAATTTATTTAAATCTATATCAGCCTGCAGCCTTTTTTTTTTTCACACTGAGTTTTGTCAGTCTGCTTTCGACTCCCTGAAGGCACATTTAGATGATAATGTACCTGCTTTTTTTTCTCTCTCTCTTCAGATGTGAAGCGTGAACTTGATGATCTGTCGAAGACAATAAAAAACTTTGAAGCGAGAGTTGGGCTCGTGAAGGATTTGGAAACCATGTCATCTGTACGTAGCATTGCTTCAAGTGGTCTCACAGATGAGGTATTGCGTAAGACAATGTACATAAGATAAGATAAGTGTATTGACCTTGCTTCTTTTTTAGAGCAAAGGGGACTATGTTGACATTAGAGAAGAGACCGGAAAGGAGGACACTGCTGTCACCAAAGGTATCTTTGTCACTATGTCTTCTGCCCTCATTTGCTTGTCCATCTTTCTCTAACAAAAGGCAAAGAAAGCTTATTGTACACCAAACTCACATTGACATTTAAGCTAAAAAACGTATCGAATTTCTTTCCCATCTCGCCTGCATTACCAGGAAAGCAAAGAATAGCTCACAAACCAAATTCTAAGCCCAAGTTGGACGCCGTGTTGGATCTAAAAGAGGAGGATGAGGAGAATGAAGGAGAGACCGGAGATCGAGGGAGCAGAAAGGGCGTCATGACTGAGGAGGAGTTGTGGGCTAGATTGGATGAACTCGAGAAACTGGAGGAGCTGCAAGACGAGCAGGACAGGTAGATGAACACACTCAGGGTGTTGCTTTAATGATGCACGTTTTCTAACCTTGGGCAAAATTAAAACGTCTCTCGGAAATGTTTTTTTCTAGATTATACGATAACGCAGACATGAACGGCGAGGACACATCATCCCTTTCCTCAGAAGAGGAGAAGGAGGGAGACGCTGCGCCTCCAGTGAACGGGCTGAGTCTGAAGCCGAGCTGGGCGTCCGTGCCTCATAGTAAAGTGCCGCCGAGCACAGACAGGAAAGCGGAAGAAGAAGATGACGAGGAAGAGGAAGGCAGCTGTTTGCCCACCATCTATTTCTCTCACACGACAGAACCCAAGAAGGTCAGAGTGATAAATAACTTATTTTAAGTCTGCAGTTTAGTTCTGTTTTGGGGACTTTCTCTTTACCCTGACTCTGTCTTGTTCTGCAGGTGAGGATAAACACAGGTAAAAACACCATGTTGAAGTTCAGTGAAAGGAAAGAGCAGAAGGAACACTCAAAGAGGAAAAAGAAAAACGGCCACAATAACGGACACTCGCATCACGAACTTCACAAGATCACAACACCGACTGACATTTACAGGTAAAAACAGCACTAAATTCAGACATAGCAGAATTGAAAGAGGTCTGTTTAATTAGGTTCCTCTCCTCTGATTGGTGATCTGCTGTCTTTGCCAGGTTGTTTGTGGACGTGAAGAACGGGGAACCCATCCCCAGGAAGTCAATCCTAAAATCTCGAAGCCGAGAGAACAGCGTGTGCAGCGACACAAGCGAGAGCAGCACAGCGGACTTTGAAGAGCGCCGCATGATCGGACGCAGCTTCAGCCACGACGAGGCGACACACAGCGACACCAGTGACGGTATTACGGAAGAGGACAGTCCCACAGCAGTCCCACTGCACCCTGCCAGCCGATTCGAGGTAAACAATTTGTGGTCGTCTATTAGTTCTTCTCCCTGTCTGTTTTGTTTTTGCCTGATCAGGTCTTGGTCAAGGTGCTTTGTACAGTCTTTAATCTCAGTTACAGTATGAAGGAAGACGCCTATCTTATGAAACAGTTTATGAAAATTGCACCTTTGAGCCTCAGATCCCTTAATGAGAGCATAAAACTCCCACAGAAGCCTCTTTAAGTTAAAATGGGAGCTGCATATGGTCGAACAATCATTAAATGGTAGTCACAAGAGGCGGCATGAATGAGAAAACACAGCACGAAAACAGCGTAAACTCGTTTGTGACCCTAAACCTTCATCAGTCACGTAACACCACATTAACAGTGATTTCTCTCCGCCTCTCTCTCTCTTCTCCAGGCCTTTTCAGGTACAGTAGTAGAAAAGGATCCGATGCCTTCAGGTGTCCCCCATCTGACCATCGCTCCGCCAGCTCTGCCGACCATACTGGAGAGGAAACAGGAAGAGGTGGCGCCTGACACGGCTTCGCCTCAGCAAGCCCCGAAGAGGGTGTCGAAGTTTAAAGCTGCCAGGTTGCAACAGAAGTGACTCTAAACCAGCAGATATCCATGAATCACAATAACTGTTTTTTTTTTTTTTTTTTTAAAAAAAAGCCTTTGTCTCTTTTCCACAACTGATAACCTGCACAAACCATCCTCTCCTTTCTTTCACGTGTCTTTCTCTTTAATCCACACACACAATCCTTGATCATGACTTCAGTGAGAAGAAGTAGAGTAGCAACGCCTTGTAGGTAACTTCTTTTTAAGAAGCTCCAAACACTAGTAATGCAGTCTCTTTTGCTTATCCACTCCCGCAGCATAAATAGCGCTTAATTTGTCCATCTTTCTGCGGGGCTTGCTTAAACCGTTTGCCGTCTGTCACATGTTTACCTGTCTTCTTCTTCTCTGTTGATCTGTGCTATCGCCAGCGTAGGTGAGACTCCAGGCTACACGTAGGATCAGTTGCCTCGTTTTGTTTCCTTTTCCAAGTATTGATCATAAAACAGAATCAGTTCTCATTTTACCTTCTCTTGACCTGCCTAATGAATGTACGTATTCCTTTGTGACAAGCTTTGTGTAAAGACAAAAAAAGAATATCGACGGAAACTAAAAGGAAAATAAACGATTTTGGCTACAAGTCTTGCTTCTTCTTTCTTCCTTGAAAAAATATCACCATCTTCTTGGTTTCTTTTTTCGTTTTGTTTTGCTAACAGGCTGTTATTCTGTATCTGAATATCAGTTTGGAAAGCTCTCCTCGTTGTTGTCACGCTGCATGTGTAATAGTAACACATTTTTGCTCCCGATACCTAGTGCAAATTGTTTTGGTCTTTAAACAGCTATTACCAGACACTGACTGAGCGAATATGGTCGCTAATGAATTATTGTTACTCCCTGTGAATTTCCTGTTGTGCATTAAAATTTGAAGAACTAAGTTAAGCACCATCCCCGTGCCATATTGCAGCCAAACTCTGTAAGCGAGCAGTTACATTTCATCAAAGTTGTATAGCAAACTGAACACAGAATGCCTGTTCCAGTTAGCGTAAGTACAATCAAAGTGCAGCCTTAATGAGAGAGGGAGCCGACCACTCTGACAACAAATCACGTTTAGCATGGGCCCACAAACAAAAATTAACTGCTGGGGACAAGAGGAAAGTCTGATTCAGAGATCGCAGGAAAAATTTGGGATGTAAAACATCTGCACTGCTGTATGATTTGATATGTGGATGATGGGGAGCATTAAAATCCTTAATTTAAGCATGAGTACCAGTGCATCCATCAATCAGTTTTCTGTAACCACTTACCGTCTTAAGGGTCATGAAAGGCTGCAGCCTGCGGAGTGCACACTGGCCAGGACACCATCAGACCAGCTCAGAGACAGAAAACCATTCACACTCACATTTACACCTACAGGCAATCTAAAGTCACCAGTTAACTAACCTGCATGTCTGTGGACTGTGGGAACCAGAGCACCCAGAGGAAACCCACACAATATGGGGAGAACATGTAAACTCCACAAGGAAGAGCCCAACCCAGCCAGTGGGTTTGAACCAGAACAGTATTGCTGTGAAGCAACTGAGTCCATTACAAGTAAAAGTCCCCAATCCAACCTCCTGCTCAAGTAGAAGTATGTAAGTATTAACAGCACTTACTTTAAAGGTAAAAAAGTGTGATGATTTATTAATATTTATTGCATTATTATACTCAACACATCAGCATATGATTAGCATTTTACTGTTTCCATCCCAGGGGTCAGGACCCCTCCAAAGGCCCACTAGACAAATCTGAGGGGTCATGAGATGATTAAAGGGGAAATGAAAAACAGTTCTGCTACGTAAATCTGTCATTTTGGACATTTCTCTAATAAATTATAACCATCTGATTAAGTTAGAGGGAAAAGGTTTCTTTGGTGGAACTGCTACTAACTCATAGACATCTGAAACATGACAAGAGGCCCCAACCAGACGCAGTTCTTTGTAAGGATTCATATATCAAGAAAGCTTTAATTTTTAACAATGTGATGAATTGTAGGAGCTTATCATAAATATTTTTCATCTAAAATCTTAATCTGAAAAAAATACATGGCTGATGAAATACTGCAGTAGAGTAAAAAGAAAGTAGCAGACATTTTAAAAAGCCTGTAAACAAAATATAGTAAAGTACAAGATCAGATCAGAGACTCACTAAAAAGATTTTTACTCCTAACTCCTACTGTCATCCCTGGGCTATCCATCCCTCCATCCATCCATTTCCTAACCGCTTAACCTCTTGAGGGTCGCGGGGGGGCTGGAGCCTATCCCAGCTGACATTGGGTGAGAGGCAGGGGACACCCTGGACAGGTCACCAGACTATCACAGGGCTGACAGATAGAGACAGACAACCATTCACACTCACATTCACACCTATGGACAATTTAGAGTCACCAAGTAACCTGCATGTCTTTGGACTGTGGGAGGAAGCTGGAGTACCCAGAGACAACCCACACTGACACGGGGAGAACATGCAAACTCCGCTCCTTCACCCGGGATCAAACCAGGAACAGGTGACAGTGCACCACACCAACGTGCTGCCCCATCCTTGGGCTAATGAGTTGAAAATCATAATTTTATTTAAGCAACTTATCATTTATTTTTCAGAATTTACTTTTGTGATATACATACAGGAGATAAAGAGTGAAATGTTTTGCATGATTAGAAAGAAATGGTCCGTTGTCTGGAGGAGGACAGAAGTTGTTTGTTGTGCAATTTAGGTGAGGTTGATGGTGTATATGACTACATAAGGAGTGTAGTCCTCAGTAAAATGACCTCAATTTATGTTGATTTTTATTGGTTTGAAAAATTTGAGTTTTGTTTCCAAAAGGGAACTGTTTTTGTGGCTGAATTTCTTCGCCAGGCCTCAGATAGAAGGCAGAGTATTCTGTTTCTGAGCTAAGTAGCTAAATAAAATGGCCTTTTGATTGTTACTGAAACATCATTGTAATGGTGTCTTGTAAACCCATGAGGGTTGGGCACATGTATGTGTGCATGACACGAACAGAAGTCAATCAATCATGTACAGTTGTTGTGTAGATGTCAGTGGCAGAGCGGGGAGTGTTTTCTTCAAAGCCTGGAATCTTTGAGGATTTTAAAATAAATAAAATCAATGGAGCAAAAGTTGCCATTACCTCTTCATTAGTAATGCTGTTTATGCCAAATTCGTGCCCTACCTGTGTGTGTAAATTAAAAATACTAACAACAGATCATTTTTGCCTCTTTTCAGACAGCAGGAGGGAAAATTAGTCATCCTCAGTATTTGTTGTTTTATGGTTTTAGAGTGATGAACACAGCTGAAGAACAGATACAAAATGGGATGTGGGCTCTACAGGAGGATTTTAAAAATCTCCACTAAATGATATACAGATTTTTAGGCATTCTATTATGTCAAATGGGGAAAAAAATCTCCAGGGGAAGCATGTCCCCAGACCCCCATAGGTTTGGGCTGAGCCCCAAATGTTTATGCCTAGCTCCGCCCCTGGTAAATGTACTTGTTTATTGTTGTTGTCACTTTTTGGTTATATTACTGGTGTTGGTGTGATTATTCTGACATATTGTGTTGTATATAAAAATCTAAACAGATGTAAAACACTAATTAATTATCAAGGAAGATCCAAGTTTTTAAAAAAAAAATCCCTTCAGAGTTAATCTATAGTCGATGTAGTAGTAGTATAATTTTCCATAGTTTGACTAATTATCAATTTTTCATGGCTGCTGAAAGTTTGGTATAATCTGTTAATGTTACGAGTTGTTCCAATAATCATCTTCAAGCCAGATTAATATGTTTCAAACCAGATTCTTTTTCTTCTTCAATAGTGAACTTGAGAACCACTCTGGACTGAGTTGTGTTGTTTGATGTAATTTTGACGTTTTTTTTTTTTTTTTTTTTTTTTTTAGCAGGACAACTCATACACACCACTGTACTTCATCTCCCCCACAAGCAGCTTTAATTAAAGCTGCGGCTTGTGAGTTGAAAGGCTATCACTCCCCTTTTAGTTAAATGGTGGGAGTGCAGGTCTCTGATAAGAAGCTTTTAAACAGGTCCTGAGGTGACTCTGCCCCCCCCCCCTCTTTTTCCTCTTCATCAGGATTATTTCTCCAATATGAAAATCCAGGTAGCATGAAACAGATTAGGCAATGCTTAACATACTAGAGTTGTATTGGTGAGACACGGATCAATGGTCTTATGTAGGTTAAGCTGTGAAGGTATATGCTGGAACATAGCAGAACTACCTTACAAAGAAATCTAGCAGACGAACTATGTAACGGGGCTGGAACGCACGCACAAGATCTACATTTCAGGGATTAAGAGGGATTTTAAGAGTTGTGTGATGAAGGATTCAAGCAGGTATTGTTGTCCAGACAGGTGCTCGGGCCTGAGAGGAGGGAGAGGAAGAGTTGCACTTAGCTCCAAATGTCAGAGGAATGGATTAAACAGCAGACAGCATATCTGCCTCGGTGCTGTTTGAAGGTATGATATTAAAGATCCAGCCACAAAGCGTCTCGTACCTACATCATTTACACCTTATAAGAGGAACTGGTGGAATTTATCACAGGAGAGAAACAAGTGTTCAGGTGATCCGCGGTGATGTCACAGCTCTGCTGCTTCGTGTTTCAGTCCGCAAGTCACTCAGAGTTCACCTTAAAGGATATTTCATGTCACTTTGACTTTTGTTTCTGCTCTTTCTTATAATCTCATCATCATATGCCACTCAAGGTCACCTTAAATTAAATAAGATCAGTAATAAAACATAAAACATACACTAAGCAGCAGGGCACAGGTCAGCAATCAGTTAAAGGCAGTTGTTAAAGTGAGTAAGGGTCTTTATAAAGATGGGTTTTAAGAGCAATTTTAAATTTGGTAATGGAGTCAAGTGCCGATTTAAGGGGGGAGTGAGTTCAGGTGCAGCATGGAAGAAGGCCAGGGAAACCAGAGTGCTGCATCTAATATGTTCAGTGTGTCTTTGGAAAAATGAAAACTCAATATCCGTCAAGAAATCACTCAGATGTTCTGACAACCATGGGCGGATTGTGAGACAATGGGCCCCTGGGCACACATATGCAAAGGGCCCCACCACCTGTTTCACATAGGAGCAGGACACACATACTTTGTGATGTTTTTGCATCACTTTATAATCATTATGCACCTCTTTGTGCTCATTTTAAGTCTCTTCTTGGTCAGTGTGTGTTTGTTTAGTGATATTTTGCAGGTGAAGGCCATTCTGTAATCCATTCATGCAGACAACGATATAAAATGAAACAATTAGTCGACTGACAGCAACTTTTTCCCCAGCTAATCCAAGTAACTTCTCCAGCAAATGTCAAAAAATGTCTCGTTTCAGCTTCTTAAATGTGAGAATGTGCTGCCTTTACTACTACCAATCTTCAAACATCATTTTAGGTTCTGGGAACTTGTGATAGTCATTTTTTAATCACATTTTCTGATGTTTTTGGACCAAACAATTAGCTGATAAATTGAGAAAATAGTTAAATAACCATTATATTCAACTTTAACTATTATATGACACCTTTCATAACAGATAGACTGTTTAAAAGCCCCATCAAGGCCTACAGGTGCTTTAAATTCCAACACAAGACAAACAAGAAG